CGACCGCCGCCCAAGGACCGCCACTGCAAATAGCTCGGCGCGGTGATTGGCTGCGCGTCGTCTGCTGGAGGAACGGTTCTCGCCGCACCGAAATGACGAGCCGCTGTCGGCGCGCTCGAATTTGCGACCTAGTTGGGAGTCCTCGTGCGTGCTGGCCGTGCTGGCGGTGCCGCAGCACAGTGGGCCAGAAGACCGGCGCTGGCGGCCACTGGACGCGTGAGCTCCAGGGTCGCTGAACGGGACTCGAACCGAACGAGTGACCCCACCAATGGATTCCTCGTTCGGAGAGCAATCCATTGGTGGGGTCACACGTTCGGTTCGAGTCCCATTCAGCGACTCTGGAGCTCAAAACGCGTCCAGAGTTTTGGCCGCCTCCACCGGTCTTCTGGCCCACTGTGCTGCGGTGCCCTGGCGGTGCCCTGGCGGTGCCGGCCGCGTTGGCGGCGTCGCTGACGAGTGTCCCCGCCAAGCGGCGGCTAGCGGCGGCTCGCCTTGGACAGATCAGCCGGGATCAAGTCGTATTGTCATTTGTCGTGGTGGTGCTGCAGTCGCCAGGCCGCCGAGCCAGACCCGCCCTGCTTCCTCGTTGCAGTGTGTGGCGCGAACGCACCGCCTTTTCAAATTGTATCGCGCATTCAGAATGAATTTTTCGAATTGTGAGGCGCATTTGTCTAAAGACCAAGTGAATTTCGCTGCGTCGCCCAAACTCGAGCTAATGTTAGAAAAGCGACATTATTTAATTTTGACCCTTTATTTGGCTTCCATCTGGCCTGGCACCCATTGAGGCTGGTTGTCATGCCCTTTCGCTGCCAGTTGGCTGTCGTTGGGCTGCTCGCGGCCACTTTGTAACCACTTTGGGAGTGCATTGTGGCTGTTGGTTGCCAGTGGCCTGGTTGAGCCCTGGCTGTGACCCACATGCCTCGGACAGTCGGTCGGGCGGACGGACGGCCAGAGGGACTAGACAGGCTTGCTGCACGCCCCGCACGCCCCGCGAACCCGAGCCGCGCGCTGTGTACAGAAAGTGATTTGGTGATCAGTGTGTCGCCGTGAGTGTGTGTGTGTGTGTGTGTCGGCGACACGCGCGCGGCGGCGGCAGCGACCCGCCAGTTTGGATTCGCGCGCGCTAATCCCACGAAGGCGTCACGTTCAGTGTTGCAGCAGGCGTTCCGCGAGGCGTTCCGCGAGGCGTTCTCACGAATGGACAAGCAACGGACAGGCGGCCACGACCCGAGTAGCGCCGCGATTCGGGTTGGGTAACGAGCCGCCGTTGCGTAATTAAACCTATAAAAAAGTGTTTTTGAGCCACCTCAGACTTTTGTTCGGTCGGTCTGCATGACGACGACTCGGAAATGGGACACGCGTTGTTCGAGGGACGCGCTTCAAAGTGCTCGCGATGAAAGCAGTTGAGTCGGCTCAGCCCGCGGATCCGGTTCGAACTGCCTACGCTCTCCAGGGCTGTCCAGGAGGGCTGGCTGTCCGGGTCGCAACGGGTTAGCCTCGGAGGCCTATTATTGGTGGGCGCCCCGCTCTCCGCCACGCGACAGACAGAGCGCTAAGCCCCGGATAAACAAAATGGCAGCTGGAAAAGTTTGCAGACTTTTCGAGTCGAGACGAACTTTGTTTCATCGCGATCGGTGCACGCGAAGCCAAGCGTAGACGGTCGGCACGCCCGACCCCGGAAATCCTCGCAGAATTGCGCAGAATCTCTTTGGTTAGTTGTTCGCTCGTCCGCGACACTTGACACTCCTTTTGCTTGATTCAGGACGACCCCTTTTCGTCCTGATGCGTCCTTGACAGCCCCGGGCGGAGGGGCTGCATAGTGCATGGCGAAGGCCCGCCGCGAGCCTAATCCTGTCAGTGTCCTTTCCAAACCCCGAAGCGCATCTTGATAACGGCCTGCTGTGTGTCTGTCTGCAGGTAGTACAGTGTACACTCACTCTTTTTCCTCCCCGTTTTTTTTGCCGGTGCAGAAAATCAAAGCCAGAGGCCGATGGTGTGTGTGAGGGGAGAGTGTGTGTGACAGAGTGCGCGCACTATTGTCTTAGTCTTGGGAGGTCCCTCTCGCCCCGCGTCGCCCCGCGCGATTCGTTGATTCGCCAGGCAATCGTACAGTGGTGCAGCAGTGCCTTTGCAATCTGTTTATTTTTCCAACTGGGAGTGTGCGCCGTGCGGCCGTGCCGCGGCACGCTGTTACCAGGCGGGCCGTGCAGCGGCGTGCACGCAGCCAGCGCAGCCAGCGCAGCCAGCCGACGTGACGAAAACGTTTAATTTGGGATTGAATCAACGTGGCCTGGCAAAGGGCACTCGCTTCGCACTCGCTGCTCTCGCGCGCGAAAAGAAATTAAAAAACTAATCTTGGCACTTATGGGGGCGTGCGACAGATCGTTGTCGGAACCAAAAATTGCAGTCACTTTCAAAAACCAAAAAAAAATTGAAAAAATTAAAAACTTTTGTTGTTAGAACCAAAAATTGCACTCACTTTCGCGCAAAAACATAAATTTAAAAAAAAATCAAATATTTAAAAAATGAAGATCTTTTGTGAGGAAGGTGTAGAGTGCGTAGAAGCACGTGGTTTACATGCACTGCGCACGCGGCACACGCGGCACGCGGCACCAAGGAACCCCAGTCAAGGTGACTGTGGTGTGCGAGGCTAAGGCACTGCTTGCTTGTCCGTTTTGATATGCACGGGGGCCGCCCGCTGCGCGCTGTGCCGCGCTGTGCCGCGCTGTGGGCTGCGCGTTTGCGTTGCAATCTCGAGTTTGGAGACGTGCGGTGACTGGCTGGGTGGCTGGCGACGCGACGCGACGCGACGAAGCCTCGGCGACGACGCCCCTGACGCCGTGACGTAATTAGTGTATGGATCTGCCGCTACACTAGTACTGCGCAGCGCCAGGACAATGGGAGTGCGTCTTCTCGTGCACCTGCCTCGCACCCACTGTAGCGCACGCTCGCTAGCACACGCTCGCTGCGACCACGGTGCTTGGGTGGGTGGATGCCGCCGCCGCTGCCGCCGCTGGCTGGTGCGCTGTTGCTACACGTGCCGGGCTGGCAAAACAAAAACACTGCGTAGGAGCAGGGCTAACGCGCTACGCACAACACTCTCTCTCTCTCTCTCTCTCTCTCCTCTCTCTCTCTCTCTCTCTCTCTCTCTCTCGCACAATCACCATCACTCACGCCCCCGCGCTCGCTCCCTCCGCTGCCCGGCGACAGCCTCGGTCCCTTCTCCTCCGGACTCCTCCGGACTCCGGAGCGCGGGTTCGCGGCGCCGCGACGGCAACTTTCATCTCGTGGTGGGGCGATTCCGCGCGGCGTTTCGGTGCGCCCCGCGACGGGCCGTGAGTGGGAGAGAGACAGAGCGTCTGCAGGCAATCTAAGCGGGTCACGGGGCCAGGCCTTTGGCCAGGCCTTTGGCCAGGCCGGCCGGGCTGCAGGACAGACTGCAGGCTGCTTCGGGGCAGCGCGCCGTCCCCCGTCTCTCTCGCACCTGGACGCCCGTGGACGCCGCGGCCCGCGAGTGCGAGAGAGACGGGGGGCTGTTCGGAGTGGCCGGCCAGGAAGCCCTGCGGATTGGTTGCCGTTTGCCAGTGGGGTACCACCCGGCGCCGCCCCTGCCCTGCCCCTACAGTGGAGGAACAAGGAAGCCCGCGGCGTCCCCGGAGACGCGTCCGTCATGCCCGTCGCGGTGGCGCGCGGGGCTTGGCGAGGTCCTCAATTCGAAATTTAGCGCTCTGGCCTGGTCGTCCCGCCACTGCACTGTTGGCGGAGCGCAGAGCGCGGATCTACCACCGTAAAAGCATAGCGAGCCGCTTGGCGACGCTCGGCGCTCCTAGCGGCCCCTGGCGGCCGTTCTAGGAAGCTCGATGTAAACAGACAGTGTTGTGCCTGCGTGACCCAGCGGCCTAGCGGCGTGCTGGCGGGCTTATCAAATTCGCCAGTCTGACACGCGCGGCCCGGCTCGGCTCGGCTCGGCTCGGCTCTATGGCCCGGCTCGGCTCGGCCCGGCTCGGCTCGGCTCGGCTCGGCTCGCAGTCTGCTTGGCGCGCGGTGCCCTGGCGGCGCCCTGGCGGTGCCGCGGTGCACTTCCTGAAAGGGCTCTTGAGGCGGCAGATAGCGTGCGGCGCGACGACGATCAGACGGACGGACAGACAGACAGACAGACAGACAGACAGGCGGGCGGGCTGACGGATTTGTCTCGATTTGCGCAGCGAGACATGTGTCTCGTGTGGCCCACCGATATCCTTATCGGACGCGGCTCGGCGGGCGCAGGTGCAGTACTGCAGCCAAGCCAGGCACCGCCAGGCACTGCCAGGCACTGCAGGGTTGTTGCTCTCGCCCAAACAAAGAGCGGCTCAACCCGCTCCACTTCAGCCGGATAAATAACTCGCTTTGAAAAACGCTGCGTCATAAACCGCAAAGCTACCACCAAAAAAATAAAAAATAAGCAAAGTTGATTTCTTTTGCTTTACTTTTGAAGAGAGCCTGTGTTTCCTGAAGGAAACTGCAAAGGACCGCGGCGGCAGCGACGCACTGGAAAAATACTAAAAGTAAAAAGGAGGAAAGCGAAATAATGATGGTGGGGGCAGTAACGACCACCGGTATGCTTCTCTTCTCCAGCGGCGTGTCCTCCTGTGGGTGAAAGCAGCGATCGTGTGCCGTGCAGCGCGGCGCGGCGTGGCGTGGCGCGGCGCGGTCTGCCGCTCTAGTCCGCCATGGGTGTTGCCATTACCGCTCCGCGCGCTGCGCGCTCTACCCGACTTTGCCTCCAAGTGCTCTTTGCATTCAGCCGGACTCTTGTAATGACTGTGGCGGGCGGAGGCGTGGCTGCCGGTGCTGACCCACTTGGGACTGTGCTGCACAGTGGGTCAGAAGACCGGTGGAGGCGGCCAAAATACTGGACGCGTTTTGAGCTCCACAGTCCCATTTTTGCACCTCGCCGTCGGCCCGTCGGCCGTGTTTTGGTTTCGGCACACTGTAAGCTGACGTGGGCTTTCCTGTTGCAGATGCCTCTGGATGCCTGCGGAGCGGCCGAAGAGGAACGGTCGCCACAGCGACGCCGCAGTTGAACGGTAAGTACAGCTGTCTCTCTCGCACCTACCCGGGACGCCCCACGAGTGCGAGAGAGAGAGAGAGAGAGAGAGAGAGAGAGAGAGAGAGAGAGAGAGGTCGCCGCCTGCGATGGGCGAGGCGGGCTGCGCCGCCGCGCAGGGCTGCCTCGCGTGGTTGCCTAGCCGGCGCTTCGCGGGCGTTCCGGCCGAGCCGGGCCCTGGGGCCGTCAAGTCTCCAGCGAGCGGGGAAAACCGGAAAAAACCTAAAACAACGAGTTTTTATGCACATGCGCGACGATTAATTAGAAGCGGGGCGCAGTACCCTTCGTGCGTGTCTGCGGCGCGGCGGCGCGTGTTAACCCGGGCAGAAAAACCTCTTTTATACCCCCTCGGTCGGACGGACAGACTGCGCCGTGGCGAGGGAGAGACGAAATAACGAAAAGGCGTCTATTCTTTTTTTTTCTTTTCGTTGCGTTTCCTCTTTCTTCCCGACCGCTGTTGTTGGTCTGGAGATGGATGGGGTAGGTGGGGCCGCGGGTGGGGCCGCGGGTAGCACCGGGGTGGGAAATACTTCCCCGACCCGCGGCAGCGTGGCAGGCTGCTGAGCTGTGTTCGCGGCCCCGCTTTGGCCCTGCTTGATCCGGTTGGCTTGGGCTGGTATTGGTTTTTCCGAGGCTGAGGCCGGCGGGGGACGAGAGGGGGTGCGAGAGAGAGGTCCAGGTGATTGCTCTGCCGTAGTGCGCAGTGGCGCGGCAGCTCGTCTCGGCCAACGAACCGATCTGGTGTAGCAACCCTCTCCGTCCCCCCGTTGCCACCCAGTTCGCCCTCCTCCCCCCCCCCACTCCACCTCGTGATTTTCAGTCGCACATCCCTACAGCGTGCTAGTGAGCGCGACCCCTGGACGTCAACAAACCCTTAGCGCTCCCCACCTCCTCGCTGTATTCTCCAGAACGTCAACATACCCTTAGCGTCCTCTCCCTCCCGCTTCCTCCCCGTTTCCTCGGGTTCCTCGCCTGTGCCTCTGGACGTCAACAAACCCACCCCCCGCCCCGCCGCCTCGCCGCCCGCCCGCGTGCCCCCTCGGGCTGCCACCCACTTGCTTGCCCGGGCGACGCGAGGCCATCAACCCCGAGCGGGCCCCCCAACCACCAACAGCCCCCTCCCCCTCCCCCCGCACGCGCGTCGTCCTTGCATCGTTACTCGTTACAGGCTCATTGAAGGCGCCGGGGACGGCGGGGACGGCAACGAGCGAAAATGCAAGATTGGCGACCGCCCCCTTCCCTGTTCCCTCCTGCTTCCGTGCTGCTGGTGGCGCCATCGCGTCGCCAGCGCACAGTGGGCCAGAAGACCGGTGGAGGCGGACAAAACTGTAGACGCGTTTTGAGCTCCAGAGTCGCTAAACAGCACTCGAACCGAACGTGTGACCCCACCAATGGATTCCTCGTTCGGAGAGAAATCCATTGGTGGGGTCACACGTTCGGTTCGAGTCCCATTTAGCGACTCTGGAGCTCAAAACGCGTCGAGAGTTTTGTCCGCCTCCGCCGGTCTTCTGGCCCACTGTGCAGCGCGTCGCCGTCGCCTCTGCGCGCTTCGTCGCTCTGTCTCTCTCGCACCCTTGCGGAGCACGCCGTGAGTGCGAGAGAGAGAGAGACGCGCTGGCGGCCCCGATGCGGATCGTCGCCTCGGCTGGCTTTCCTTTGTCCTCCGCGTGCTCTGCCGCTGCTGCTGCCGCCCGCCTTCCATGTTTTTAAATAAATTGCGCGCCTCGCGGGCAAGTGGCGCACCACCACACCAGAAGCTCGAAATACCGCCGCCCCGTTTGTCAACACCAATCGACACGGACGGACCGCAAACACCGCGCGGGCCATTCAAACCAATCGATGCGCGCGCGGGAAAAAAACCTAACCTAACAACAACAAAAACATTTGGCGCGAACGAAACGGAACGGAAAGTGGCTGTGAGGAACGAGGCGCGAACGCAACCTTCGCTTTGGCTAGACTCACTCGCAGTGTAGCGGGCAATCAATACACGAGACGGGCTTTTGACCCGCGCCAACTGCACTGTATGTGCACGGCGAGGCCAAGTCGTTGCCTACCCGGAAAAGGCAACCGTCGTTTGTTTTAACGGAACTGCCCGCGGCCTGCAGGCAGCCCCCGGCGAGACGCCTGTGAAACCCAGGGTAGGCAACCCCCTCGCACAGGAGTGCACCGTTGCCTACCCGCCGTTTCACAGGCGCTACGCTGGAAAGGCGGTTTTCTCCTTTGCCCCTTTGGATTGGGTTGCTGCCTGAGGCCGACCCCGCGGAGGTCAAGTAGACCCCCCCTCTTTTTTCCCTCGTAGAGACTGCCGCTTTTTCCTCGTCGGAGGAAACCGCCCCGGCCCTTGACGATGCGTCGACTCCACTTCACGAGACCCAATACCTCTTCCCCCTCCCCCCGCCACATCCCGTGCAAGCACACTGGAAGTAATCATTTTTAGTACAAGCTATTCGGTCATGAATTGCGTCGCCGTCGCACACAATCCAGATGGGCGGCATTTGGGGCAACCTAACCTCACTCTTTTTTTGTTGTGGACTGGATTTCATTCTCATGTCGGGCCGGGCCGGCGGTCTGGCCCGGGGGTCAGGCGTACTGCGATAAGCTCTCCTTGACCGCCTCCGAGGTGGCCTCCTTCGGGCGGCGCGTGGCGCGGCGCGGCGCCGATAGACTCTTTCTCATGCGTGGAGCGTCATTCGATAGGAATAGCATTGGGCCAATTGGGGGCGTTTCGTCACGCGCGTCGACGAGTACACTGTACACTCCCAGTGCATCGGACTTGTTGACAAGTAAAAGTGACCAGTACACTGTGGTGCGGGCCGGACCAATCAAAGCGCCGCGTTTGGCCGGCATGCCGCTGGCAGGCGCACTGACCGTAGCGTGCCCTCTGCCGAACGATGAACGAGACTTTTCCTTCGTCTCTTTTTCATTCATTTTTTGCGGGAATCTTGACGAAGAAGCTTTGATTATCGCGTAGGTGGTTTACAGTTTTGCTTTTTTTTCCGCTCTCGCCTCGGCCGGTTGACCTTAGACTGTACTGAGGCGTGCCGTGCCGCGTGCCGCCCTGGACGCGTGGAAGCGCGTGCTAAACGCGTACCACCGCGTCGCTCGCGGACTTGTCGGGGAATCGTACTGGAAACGCCCAGCGAGTCTGGAAATTAGTTTGCCAGACAAGACGTGATTTTTATTTTCGAAGTTCTTATTTAATTTTTTTTTTGATTTAATTGGTTTTGCCCGGGGGCCACCTTCGCGCGTAGGCTGACTGGATGGAAACCCAAGTCGTTAATACACTGCGGGCAAAACCGTCGAGAACTCGAAATGCCGATAAGTCGTCGATAAAGAGGGTTGCGAACACCGGGAAAATAAAGGTTGGTACAGTGTGAGCTGTTTTGCGGTGGGCGCCACTCGCGAATCGTGCGGCGGGTTGCGGTTCTCGTCCAGAAACGTGCTATGGATCGCGGTTTTGCGAAGTGGGGCCTCTTTCTCCTCCTCCAGTTATTTCTGACTCTGTCGGAAATACGGTGCAGGTCGGGCCAGCGCCGAGTACTTGGCGGGAACACGGACCGGTTTCGGTCCCTCCTGCTCCCCGGCCAAGGCCCTTTCCTCCCTCACGTCCGATTTCCGCCAATTTCTCCGGGCGTCGCTCCTCCACACTGTTAAAACTTTCCCCTTTCAACAGCCCGTTTTAATTATCTCGAATCGTATTAATAAAGTTGCAGCTGACACTTTACATTTATTTTTCATTAAATTCGTTTCTCTCTTAAAAATTCTCCCTCTCGTTGCGAAATTGCTTTACAAAGATTTGGCAGAGTAGCTTGTCTCAACTTCGTGCATGGTGAACCCTGTTTTGACGTGTTGCTGGCGTGTAAGACACATCGATTGCCTGTTACAGAAACTGATGATCCGCGCAGCAAGAAACAGAATTCGGACCGAAATGCTCCCCGATCGTGAGTTGCCTTCTACCAAATAAACATCGCCGCTCTGTGTCCTTAGTGAGCAGGAGGCGGACGAATGACTTGCCGGTCGCGGGTTCGAACCCCCCCGCCGGCGAATATTTTTAGCTTTTCGTGACGGAACCCCTTTCGCCTTGAATTTGGCTGCTTTTATGCTTTGGCACCTTTCCCTGCATCCCGCTGGTCGGGACTGATGGCTTGACGCCGTCAACAGGAAGGGAAACTCCAAATTAATAAATTAATTAGTAAAATAAATTTTAAAAGCCCTGGCTGTTGTTGTGCCTTGAAGTGTCACCAGCAATACGTCTCATGGTCGGGGTTTATTCAATTCTACCGACTTCACGTTTGTGCGCTGCCTCACGCACAATTTGCGCACATAATAATTCATATTTTCGTACGATTTTGCGCGTGGAAATGACGATTACCTCATGCCGGAAAACGGTGCGTGACACACTCGCGTAGGGAGACTGATGGTTGGTTACGGTTTGTTGCAGACGCTGGCCACTGCCTCGAGGGTCGTCCGAGTCCCACAGCCAGTCCTGCCAACATGGTGAAGACTTTCCAGGCTTACCTGCCGCACTGCCACCGCACGTACTCGTGCATCCACTGCCGCGCGCACCTGGCCAACCACGACGAGCTCATTTCAAAGGTGAGGTCGCGGGTTCAAATCCTGTCATCAGCTTTTTTTTTTTTTTTTTTTTTAAGAAATTTATTTTATTGGTCTTGCAGCCTTGAAATGAACTGGAAAGGTTAGGCGAGGCAGGCCGCAAGTAGAGAGAGGGGCTAGTGGGGGTCTGAAAGGGGCCTTAAATCCCTCGCATGGTTTATGAGTGGCCTTGTTGAAAGAGAAGGTATTTTTTTATGGATTACCTTGTTCGGCGCGTGCAAGTGTTTTTTTGAGGAGAGAGGTACGGGGTTGCGTAAAAGAACGTGGTGACGCGAAGGAACCGAATGGGACGCTGGAAGATTGTATTTCATTTCAGTTTCCAATGTCGGGTAAACGGTTCCCCGTCCATCTGCCCGCGCGTGGCGGCGTGGCGGCGCTCCCAGTGACAGGTGACAGCCGAGCGAAAGGACGGCGGGCAGCTAGCCGTTCCGATTTTCGAAACGGCGTTGCGTGATGGCGGGCGAAACGCGCTAGCACCGCTAGCACCGCCAGCACGCAGAGTGGGTGACCCCTCGGTGAAGTGTCATTGCCACTGGCCTATGGGGGACTGCTGCGCTGTAGTTGATTTATCTATTTCTACGCTGCTCGCCTCGCGGCCCTCGCGGCTCGGGGGCAATCTGGTCGCGTGGCGCGAGTGGTGCGAACGCGCTGTAAAATCCCTGCGCGGGGTAGCTGGGTACGGCGTAATACCCGCACGCCCCCTCCCCCTTTCCCTCCCCGATCTCTGGAGGCATTGACGTCACCCTCAACAGCTGACTGCCGCCCCGGTCCACCCCCACCCCTGTTCTTGGAAGGCGTGGGCGAGGCCGGGTGACGCGGTGGGCCGCTTCACCGCTTGCTTGCTCTCGGTTCATCACTCGATGGCGTGGACCCCGTGGACCCTGTGGACCCCGTGGACCCCCGGGACCGGCCAATTTCAGGCCAACGGCGAACCAAATTACGTCCCCTTGTCCCGCCACGCCGCCACGCTGCCAGCCGCCAGCCGCCAGCCGCCACGGGCAGAGGCCACGCCGCAGCCCGCCTTGGCTAGGCGCTAGGCGCTCGGCCACGGGGGAGTGGCGCGCTGCGTCTGCGTCACTCAACGACATCGATATCCCGTTGCTCGAGCGAGCTGTCTGCCTGCTCTCGACATCGCGGTGGACTGGAAGAAAAAGTCATTTCCCTTATGCTTTTTAGTGTTTTAAAATTTGCGTTTCTCTGTTGCAGTCGTTCCAAGGAAGCCAGGGGCGCGCATACCTCTTCAATTCTGTGTAAGTGCTCGGCTACTTACCCTCAAATAATGCTTTTTTTTTTTTTTTGGGGGGGGGGGTATATTTAAAACGTCAATGACATAGTCGATTTGGCAAAATGTACAGATTGGTGGGCTGTGTTCTGACGGACGGTCCCTCTTGTGTTGCAGAGTGAACGTAGGGTGCGGACCGGCGGAGGAGCGCGTGCTTCTCACCGGCCTCCATGCCGTCGCCGACATATACTGCGAGTGCTGCAAGACGACGCTCGGCTGGAAATATGTAAGGGATGGTCGTTGGCGCGGGCAGAGTGTACACAGAGTGCAGTGACCTTGAGTCTGACAGTGACTGAGCCCTCCCCTCGGTGTGCTTTGCGCTTTGCAGGAGCTGGCCTTCGAGTCGAGCCAGAAGTACAAGGAGGGCAAGTACATCATCGAGCTGGCCCACATGATAAAGGAGAATGGGTGGGAATGAGAATTGTGCCGGCCCCGCGGTACTCAGCGAGGGCCGGGCAACCAAGACAACCAGGACGACGACCCCTTGGCGGACAGCACCGAGTGCGTCCCGGGCCCGTCGACCGGCTACACCGCCCCGCCGCCGGGGCCCCCCGTGGAGCGCGGCCCCATCGGCCCCCTCGGCCCCACGGGGCTAGCCGCGTTGGCGTCGGACATCCAGTACATCGCCGACAGCAGTAGCAGCAGCAACAGCCCCTCCAGCAGCTCGTCGTCGCCGGGCGGCTCCTCGTGCAGCCCGTCGTCGTCGTCCAGCTCCAGCTACGGCTCCAGGCACGCCCTCGCGCCGCCCGGGCCCTCCAGAAGGCCCTCCTCAAGGCCCTCCTCAAGGCCCTCCTCCCCGGCCCCCTCGGGGCTGGCGGCGCCGGGGCCGTCGTCGTGCAGAGGCGCTGGCAGGAGCCGCAGTCCGGAGACGCGCGGTGCAGGGGCTCCTCTCAGAGGGGCTGTCCCCGGAGGGGCTCTTCCTGGAGGAGGTCCTCCCGGAGGGGCTCCCCCCAGGGGGGCTCTTCCTGGAGTAGGTCCACCCGGAGGGGCTCTCCCTGGAGGAGGTCCTCCCGGAGGGGCTCCCCCCAGGGGGGCTCTTCCTGGAGTAGGTCCACCCGGAGGGGCTCTCCCTGGAGGAGGTCCTCCCGGAGGGGCTCCCCCCAGGGGGGCTCTTCCTGGAGGAAGTCCTGCCAGAGGGGCTCTGCCCAGAGGGCCTTCTCCCCGAGGGACTCTCCCCGGCGCGGCTCAGGCTCTACAAGGACCCCAAGCCGAAGCGAGTGCGCCGTTTGGCGCGGGGCCGAGCGGGCCGAGCGGGCCGAGCGGCGCCAGGGCCGTGTACTGCCCCCGCCACGGCCTCGTGGCCGCGGACGCTGGTGCTGGCCCCGGCCGCGGGGCGCACGGCCTCGAACACGGCCTCCGACACGACCTCAACGGGGCGGGTGCTGCAGCTGCTCAAGCAGGCCCTCCCCAGGCCCAACGTGCTTCGCCGGGACTGCCGGGACTGCCGGGCCAGCCAGGCCGCGGAGCGCAGCCCGACCCAGGCCATGCTGGCCTTGCTGCCCATGCAGGCCCAGGACCGTGGCCTCCGATGGCGCAGCTCTCGGACCCCCGTTGGTGAATCAGACGAGCATGGGCTCATATTGATCTATATTCCAGTGATGATTTTTTTCTCTCTTTTCTAATATTGTTGTTGTTTTTTATTCGTTGACAACGTTATTTGGATGTGCTGAGTTGGGCTGCTTGATTTACGTTATAGTTAGAGCAGCATACCACTTGGTGTGCTACTTGGTGTAATTTTGTGATGGACATCCTTAAAAAAACCATGAGTACTGTGATGATGCTATGAGCGTACACTCAATGCTGTATACTTGTTTAAGTTCCTTTGTTGTGATGGTGGATTTTGTTTTTGCGGTGAGAATCGATTCGGCATGACCCATTGCAGGATGGATTTGAGCAAACCTTTTTGTGGCCAGGGTAGTTGTACTTATTCTGAGCCAACCGCAGATTGTGGAAAAGATAACGACAACAGCAGTGTCTGGATTGTAGACACTTGCAGCCTGAGGTGACTCGTTGCATTGCAAGCATACAGCGACACCACTTTTGTGGCTTTCTGTTCTTATCACTGCCATAAAAAGTTTATTTTAAGTAAAAACATCAGTGATAGAAATACTTTCCTTACTCTTTTTTTTGAGAGTTAAGGAAATATTTTTGTTTGACTGTCTCCCTTGGAACAAATTGTTCTTGTTGACTTACACATATGATGGGAGTATACAATTAATGCTCTTTTCTTGACTACCACTCATTTTTTGGCCAGAAATCATGAATTGTTTCCTTCTAATTGACTTTTAAATGTTTAAAGAAGGTGTAGACTTTGTATGTATTTGTAAAGCGCACTCCTGTCCAAGTGTAGCATTCTAGTAGCACTAGGAATTCCCCCTGTTTAATTTTGTCGTTCTCAGGTTTGTTTGATTGTAAAAGCATCGCTTGTGTTCTGTCACCCTGCTTGGTTTCCTATCTTCTTTTTCTTCTTTTTGATGTGTCTTTTGTAAAATTTTACTACTGGAGCTTGCAGTAAATGGGTCACATTGAAATTTTGTGCAAATTTTTGTTCAAGTGCAACCAACATAAGATTCCATCTTATTTCTTTTAAAATGTAAACATCTCAATATATGTGTATTAGAGTAGTTTTAGATACTACCTTCATAGAACAAAATTTTCCTTCTTTAACTTGTGTATTATCGTAAATTTTCAAGTTATTTTCCATTTAGATTTGCTTTTGATTGCAGGGTGGACAATACCCAACTGGCTTGCTTCAAGTCCAAGCTTCAAAATTATTCGGTCAATGTTTGTTGCTAATTTAAATTTAAAATCGTTTTTTGTTTTGGTGTGACAAGATTAAAAGTGTCCTGTATATTTGCCACTTTCCATGTCAAGTATTAATTTTAAAATTGGAAATTGAATAATGATTGATAGTTTTATCATTAGCTTCAAGCATTAAGGGTAGTCATAATTCAGTATGCAAAAACTAGAAAAGTGAAGCAGCTATTTTATTTTTTTACTGTGAAGCTTGTGCTGAATCTGTTGAATTCTGTAAAACAAAATGATAATTGTTAGGGAACCAAACAAGTGAGAAAAGAGGCCCCCTGCCCTGTACTTAAAGCAACATTGCTTCCCTGGTCAAGCTACAGCCGTGCGAGGCGAAGGAGCCGAGAGACTCTGGCCTCCGTAACCCATTCTAGTCTTTCAGTCTGTGCATTCACATTTCCCATGAATGTAAATACTTCGTAGATAGTATTTTTGTACCAAAATATTTGTATATTTTTAGTTAAAATAAATTTGAAGCAGCAAAACATTTTGTCAGAAAGATGAAGCAGTACTGTGCCTAATCCAGATTAGTTATGCATTGAAGTCTAAGTACCAAAACCAATACCTAGAGAAATTCCCTTAATTTGCTGGTTTATCTGATCTCAGCATTCTTTCATTTAAGAAAGGTACCAGTTTGGCCTTTGGAAAGCCATTTATGTCTCTTCCTTTCAGTTAAGACAGTTTGTTAGTGGCTGCTTTAGTGTTGTGTTTATAGGGAAGCTGCTTGATTTAAAGATTGTATCATATCAACTTTTTAAATTTCTTCTCTTGCCGTAGCTGCCTTAGTCTTTGTGCAACTTGTAGCTGACAAATTTTTTGCAGGACTGTGAAGATTTTCATGTGATTTTACAGTCCTCCAAAGTAGTGCTTTTTGCTAAGCATCCCACTTAGATTTTTAAAAAGATAAGTATTCTGTTTTGTTCAGTTTGTGTGGCTGGTTCATGTGATTGGATATAGTGTGATTGTGATCTAAAGATGGTGCCTGATTGTTGGAACAAAAATTATTTTAGTGTTTGTATATTAAATCCAGATTTATTAGAAAAGAAAACCACTTACAAATCAGAAAGAAAGCAGAGTTGAAACCGCGGACCAATAGTCATGTGCATACACAACCAATGGTGAGGCATGGCTGGAGAACTCAAGTTGTCGACAGCTTGGAGTGTCAGTGTCATCAAGACATGATCCTGGTCCCAGTTATCAATATTTTTAAAGTGTAACTTAGCAACTATTTTTAAGATGTTAACCCATGACTGTATATAATGCAGCATTGCTGTGAATTTCATATGTGATAATTTGGGATATGTAGAGACAAAACATTTTTCTCCATTGTATGTGATTTGGCCTGTTCCTCTACAAGATCCCAATAAATCTTCTTATTTTGTTTAATCCATGCGTGATTGTGTGCGAGTTTGTGATAGTATGTTTGCACACCAGCTTTAGTGAAGATGACTAATTGGCATGTATGCATGTACGCGCTGTGTCCGTTTTAATCTATTTGTGTACATGTGATTTCTGAGACCGAGGGAGAGTGAGACTGTGTTCTATAGATTGTGTAATTTCCCTCTACACTAAACAATCTTGGAGGTACCACACTGTACTGTACATTATTCTCGAGATTTCAAAATAATATATGCAGATGGCTGTTGCTCAAATAAGTTTTTGTTTATTATTCCCAATCAACCTTCATGCGAAAGGCATGCCCCGAATGGGTAGGCAACCCATCGTCCATAGCCCCTTCGCCGCACCAGCACTCAACTGGCGTCACGGGAAAAGTCATTTTCACACCAAATTGAATGTGTCAAAGGCCATTGGGCATCGGGCATCTGTTTGTTAGACCCATAGCAACGTTACATTTGAGTTTCTAACAAATCGGAGGTGGTCGACCATTTTCGCCGAAAAGAAGCTAGGGCTCACATCATGGTTTTTCGACGTTTGGGGAAAAAAACTCACATTAGAGAATGTCGTGCTGGCGCACTCCCTTCTGACACTTGATACACTTTCAAGAACCATTTCGGCCCTTATGTGTATTCTGGAAGCGGGGAAATTACAATTAAAAATTTCTCTTTCATGATGTAAACAATATTGTAATATCCGTCTCTTTTTTCAAAGCCAACAAGGCACTACACAACATAATTTAAATCACAAATCAACACTTAAACCTGCATAAAAAAATCTTGAGAATTTTGTTCACTGCATCTGTATGTATAACAGGATGCCAAACACTAACATCAAAGACAACAATACAAATATTCAATAAAGATATGAAATTATCACTTTGGATCATCATGACATGACCAGTTATGTATTAGATGTTCACAAGGATGAAAGAGAAGGTAAAAAACAACAACATACACATATTTACAATAAAATCTGTACAATATCTTATTAATAGAATTCATAAAGTATTACTGAGCATTAGAATTTTCTAACATAAAACTTATGTAAGGACTCATTGTGTTTGGTTCCATAAATTACCCTGAAGTAAACTTAAAATGTATGTTAATGTCAAAATCAGAAGACTCAAAGACATCCAAAGGTATCCAAAAAGAAAACTCCATCTCTACTATTGCAAATAATCAAAATTCCTCTAAGTTGAAATTTCTGCACCACACCACACTCACCCAGAGGGTCAATGGTTAATGTTTAATTGAACAATTGTTATAATATTAAACTATTGGACTACCTGAGTCAATGCTCAAAAACATTCATGTGTAACCATATGTGTCACAAATGGTTAATATATTTGTCAAATATACTACTTGAGCACACAAAAAAGGTGATGTGACAGCAAAGCAAGACTATCAGATAGGGACGGAAAAAAGAATAATTTCACATTCCCTCAAACGTAATGTATTCCCTGAATCTAGTACGCCACATCCTGCTAAATTGTTAATGCACAGCAAAGCTTTTGCAGATTCCAAATAGGGCAAATTACATTTATGGTTGAGTATAAAATGCGTACAATAAAACAAACCCAATTTTTTGGCGTTAAGCATTACACATAAACAACTCTGAAGCATTAATAGTTTGCATCCGCTGGTCATTAAACCAAAAATTAAATAAATGGTTTACGTAAGCTCACATGATTGCATCTTAACATAAATGTTTGGGTCGCACAGCACAGCCACAGCATAAGGAGTAAAATTGAATTCAGACCAGAAGAAAGGACTGTGATTTAAAAAGCTTTGTCTAACTCATGCGCAACACATTTTGTTCATCAGCTATGTTAAAATATCAAGGGTAATCCTACAAGATGGTAAGCAAGACTCTCTCTCTCTCTCACACACACACACAAACAAATCATCTACACTACACTAAACTAAAAATGGCCGCTCTACACAACTTTGGTTGATCTGAGCCGAGAGATTTACTCTCTTCACAAAGCAATGCATTGTTTGGAAATTAGAACTCTTCCGTCATGAGAAGAGAAAATAGAAATATACCAAACAATGAGGCATGTTTCCCAGACAAGGAAACAATCATCCGCTAAAGCAAGATGATAAGCTAGAGTGGAGAACAGTTCAAAGCATAAATTTAGCGGGTTAGTGAGCTTTAACAAGTAAAACTCCTTGCTACATAGACACAAGAATAGTTTCACATAATGTGCTACTGTAACTCAGCTCAAGAAGGAAAGGTAAAAAAAAAAGAGAGATTCCTGCTACAGAAGCATTAGGTAATTTGGATATTTCAAAATGAGACCAGATGTAGTCTTATTTCATTGCAGTATTAATAAAAATATGTTTTGTTTTTGAATAGTCCAGTAGCAACTGTAAAACACCAAATGAACACATAACGATGGCATCCCGGTTCACTACATTGTAAGCCCCTCAAATCCTGATGGTAGAAAGTCAGTTGTCAATTTTTAACTTGAAACAATAAAGCAAACATCTGCTGTCAAACCAGTACAAAAGACGCACTTGTGTTGTTGCACAACTAAGGTGTCATCAACAAAAATCACAAATAATGATCAAGATGTCGGTTTCATGAAAAGTCTACTGCAACAGGCCACAGCGCCACAGCTAGGTGTCACATCGGGCCGGGCGTCACTGTTCAAACATCTTCTTCCGTTCAGCCACCATCCCACTGAGTGGACAGGGCGAGGATGAGTGCGAGGACAGTGACGATAAAGATGGAGATGATGATCGCAAAGAAGATCCAAGAGGAGGAAGAGAAGAGCAGTGGCGTCTTGAATACCGCATCAGTTCTGTCCACCAAAATATTTTATTAGCTCAAGAAGAAGCAACAACTGCAAATTTTTAAAAAAATGGAGTTTAAGGCTGCTTTACCTGCAGAAGTGAGAACTGTCGGTTCCGTGCGCTGTTTGCCCTTTGCTCGGAGGCCCAGAAATTCTGCTCGTAGTCCATTGCTTGCACTGCTTCCACTGACAGCCTGGTTGGAGCCTTTATTTCACATTGGCAAAAGGAGAAAAAGAAAGACTCATTTAACAGAATGATAAGTGGTTTTAGAATTATTGTATTCATAATGTAATATTTAAGACTCAAAGTAAAAATGAGCTCTGTCTGGAAGATCAGCATTTAAACAAAGCAAAATGAACCTCCACCTAGAAGGAAATGATAGTTAATTTCCATACGGTACAGAACTTTCCATTCATGCAATATGACAAAAGCACGCTTACTCACACATCGTACTCATCAAGCAAAAGCAAAGTAAAGGCAGTGATAATTTAAAACAACATGCAAAACAGAGATGATGGTCAGATTTTTCCTCTTCTCAAATTAGAAACAATATCCAGAAAATAATGTATAAGTTAGCACTAAGTCAAAATTATTTTGTAATGGCACAGTTAGTAGTTTATGTAACATTATGAATGAAGCATGAGCTATGTCATGTTAGGATCTTTTGCAGAGGTGACATATGATGCAATTACAAAACACATGATGCACAATAGACATCCTACCTTTAGTATGCAGGCCCAGGCCCCAAGGGTCAGGCAATGCAGAGCTCTGAGGTGGTGTATGGTGGGACCAGCAGTCCACGCTACCAATGCTACCATGCTGGACAGCGACAGCACAGCCGCGCCAAAGACAAGCATCACACAAGCATATACTGTATGTCACTGATGTGTTTAGCAATAATTTTCAAAAGTAGTATAATTAACAAATACTATGCCATTTTAAATCTGGATTTAAGCACACCCCAAAATAAAAATTGAAAGAAATAAAATCTACTAAATGAGAGGAAAGGGACGTAAAAGGGACTACCCCAGAATGCAGGCAATCTTTTGTTACTTTGGTGTACCAGTTTTCATATAGCCATGTTTTTTTTTTCTTTTTTTGGAAGGGGGAGAGGGGGAGCAGAGAATATATGGGGAGAGGAGTGCAGCTTATCTTTAACGAAAGAATGGGCAAAATCCAAAATAAAGATGAAAATAAATAGAGGGAACATGCATCTTGATTACATAAACATGCACAAATGCTTTGTCATACAAAACCTCCTTTTTTCCTATAGCCTCTCTTGGGAAAAGCAAGTGCTACCTTTCAATGAAACTCAACAAAACACTACATAATAAACCCTTCTAAAGCAGGTGTGAGGGTGCTCAGTTCAAACTCCACTACTAAACTAAGAATTGACACAAAGCTTATTTTAACTTACCGTGCTGTCAACGCTGCCGCCACTACTGTGGTTTACACTGGACACACTAACTGTACTGCTTCCACTGCCGCTGCCACTTGCACTACCAACACCATTGCCACTGATTGTGTTGCAGCTAGTGCCGAGATTGTGTTCTCTCAGGAGCTGAATCGGGGGACTAGACCTTCCATCTTCACTAGCTTCTGATACAAGATGAGCTCGAAGCTGTTTGTTTCTGAAACAAAACGATAATTTAAAGTGTTATTGCTGGAGAGCAGGAAATTCATAAAAATTAAATAGGGAGGAAACCGGTACCTTGCATCTAAATCCAAAATGTGCTGTTGAGCTTGAGCAAGTTGTTTGCTGACAAGACCTAACTGTTCTTCTAATGCTGCAGACTCAAGACACTTTATGGAATACTTTTCAGACAAAGATAAAATTTCTTGCTTGATTTCTTCCATTTCAGCTCTGGAACAATAATTTAAAAAATACAATTAGAATGAATACGTCATTTTTCCATTGCACTTGGGTTTCAGACTTCACTATACTTACTCATGTTCTTTGTGCAGAGCTCCAATATCATGAGTGGCTTGCATTTTCTTTATAAACTCTGCTTTGAATTTTGCTATTTCTTTTTGCACCTCCATTTCATGGGCTTTGCGCATGGCATCCAAAGCTAATAAAAATAAATTGTTTACATTACAAAATAAACTTGTTTTGAATCATGTCGTCTAGTATCACAGTCCAAGAAGGAATATGTGTAAGTAGATAATAAAAAATGTACCTGCTAATGTTGCTTGTGTCTCTTCAGCCAGGGCTTGGTCTTTCTCCAGGCGAAGCTGTTCTGCTTCCTGTCGATGTTTCTCTTGGAGTTCAGCAATTATACGACGATGAGAATTATCCATGGCTACTAACCCCTTCTCACACAATGCCTGTGTGGATCAAACAAATCAAAATTAAACTTCAGGAAAATGAGTAAAAGAAAAGATGTGACAGGAATGATTCACTTACTCGAAGATGTTCAATTTCTGCTTGATAACGCTGCCGGATATTATCACCTGAGTCCAAATCTCTCTCCAAACCAGCTGCCAAAGTCTTCTGATAAGCTGTATGTAAGTTGTCCATTTGAAGAGAATATTCAGAATCTAAAGTGTCCAATCTCCTCTCCAGCTTTCTGGCACGTTCCTTCAACTGAGCCTGTTCCATTTCATGTTGACAAACCTTCAGGACAAATTAATAACAGTAAAATCAATGTCACATGTGAACTTTTATGCAGAATGAGACCTGACAAAATTAAAAGGATCGCATACCAGTGACCGTCTTTGCATTTCGAGCTCCCCAGTTAGTGTTGCCATTTCCTTCTCCTGACTCTGTCGCAGTTGCTGTAGTTCTTCACCGTGCAGAGACTCGAGCCTGAAAACAGCACAGACACAGGGCGTCAAATTTAGAAGCCACTCAAAGCACGGCAATGCGACTCTTGCATGGGAAGGGAAAGGAGGTGTGTCCTGACAGTGTCCTGACATGCCGGGCAGCGCACCTGTGTAGTTGTTGCTGCAGCTGCTGGCAGCGTTGGCAGGACTGGCCCTGCAGCACGCAGCTCTGCAGCGACACCACCTGGTGCCGGAGCTGCGTGCACTGGGCGCAGATGTCACTCCAACTCCAGCAGCCCTCCATGCTGCGGTCCGACTTGGCCTCGCCGCTCTTGGGCCCGTCGTCGCCCAGCTGGATGCAGTCCTGCAGTCTGTTGAGCTCCTCCTTGATGTCCGACAGCGCCCACATCACCTCGCCGCTGCAGCCCTCTTCCTCAGGCACTTCCCTGATGCCCTCGCCGAGGACGGGGCCCACCCCCTGGCCCGGCCCCAGCGCGGCGCGGCACTCGCTGCAGAACTTGTGGAACAGGTACTCGAACTCGGCGCCGGACGACGCGTCGCTGTCCAGCAGCGACTGCAGGGCATGCACCTCGGCCTCGGCGCCCAGCGCCTTGTCCACGGCCTCCTCGTCGTCGTCCTGGGCCGGGCCGCTGTCGTCGGCCACCTCGCCGCGGAGCACCGCAATGCGCGCGTCCACCAGGGCCTTGTGCGCCGTCACGTCCGCGAACTCCGTCAGCAGCCTGCGCACCTGCTGTTCCGAGGCCTCCGTCGAGGCCCTGCCGCCTGTGCCGTCGCGCCGCATCTCGGCCAGCCGCTGTTCGTAGAGGCCGGCGAGCTCCGCCGTGGCCGCGTCCATGGCCTCGCGCACAGCCTGCTCCGCCGCGTCGGCCCACAGCTCCAGACCCACGCGCTCGGCCGAGGCCGCGGTGACCACGGCCAGCCCGGCACCCAGGTCCGCCTCCTTCTCCGCGGCCAGCACGGCGCCGTAGGCCTCGGCGCAGCGGGAGGCCACGTGGGCGATCTCGGCCTGCACCAGCTCGTGGTTGACGGCCTCCTGCGCCATGCGCTGCGCCGTCCGGAAGGCTTCCCTCGGCCGTCCGTCGTCGCCGTCCTCGGCGTCCTCGGCGTCGCTGTCCACGCGGAGCGTCTCCTCGGCCAGCAGCGCGGCGAGCGGCCCGAGCTTTTCACTCCGGAAACGCGCCACCGCCGCGTCCAGCTCCTGCTTCCTGCCGAGCATGTCGTTGAGCGCGCCGGCCGGCAGCGCCGAGGGCAGCGTCGAGGCCTTGGCGCGTCCGCGGCGACACTGCGACGCCGCCAAGCCCGCCTGCAGCTGGAGGAACCGCGCCAGCACCCTGGCCATGTGGTCCAGCGACGTCTGCACGCCAGAGGCGGCTTCCTCGTGGTGGCCGTCCAGGCCGTCCAGCTTGGCGGCCAGCGCCGTCATGTAGCGGTCCAGGTCACACAGTTGCGCGCCCTGGCGGCGGTCGTCCGCGGCGCACGCCTGCTGCAGCCTGCCCACCAGCACCGCCTCGTAGGCCAGCTTCTCGGCGAGCAGCTCCAGGCGGGCACGCTTGTCCAGCCGGCCTGCCTGCCGCAGGGCCTGGCGTCGCCTCGCCACGTCGCGCAGCTTGGCCTGCAGCAGGCGCTCCATGCGCTGCACGGCGGCGCGCACCTCGGCGCCCACCACGTCGCCCTCCGCGTCCGCGGGCGCCTCCTGCAGCACGGCGTCCAGTTCGGCCAGGCTGCGCTCCAGGGCCGGCGAGGCGGCGGCGTCGTGTTGTCCTTGTTGCTCTTGTCCTTGTTGCCTCCGCGGGGCGCGGCCGAGCAGGCGTAGGCACTCGCGCATCTTGACCCGCGAGCGAGCGAGCACGTCCTCCAGGGTGAGCAGGCGCGCTGACGGCGCGTCCACGGCGGCCTCCTCTTGAACGCGCTCCACGCTGACGCGCACGGCGCCCCTGCCCGCGTCGCGCTCCGCCTCGGCCTGCCGCACGGCGTTGGCCACCTTGGACTCGAGCGCGCTCAGTCGGATGAGGACCTTCATGGGCTCGGAGCTGGTGGCGCTGTCCAGCGACTTCCGCCGCAGCCGCGCCGCGCGGTCCTTCTCGTCCTTGTCCTGGCGGTCGCGCCGCCGCTCGCCGCGGCTGCTCTTGGTGGACCCGGTCAGCGACGGCGTGGGCGACGGCGAGGACGGCGACGACGGCGTGGCGGGCGTGGTGGTGGCGCGAGGCGCCGCGGTGGGTGCGCCGCCGTCCCCCTCCAGCGCCGCCAGCTTGCACTCCAGCTCGGCCAGCTTGTCCTCCAGCTCGCGGCAGATCTGGAAGGACTCGCGGCCCTTGAGCGACAGCGAGCGCCGCTTCTCGCGGACCTTGAGCGACTCGGCCTTGGTGAGCTTCTGCTTGAGCAGGCGGACCTGCTTCTCGGCGGCCGTGAGCTTGAGCGTGAGGTCCTCGACGCGCGCGGCCATCAGGTTGGTCTGCGCGCGCTCGGCCTCCTCGCGGCGGCGCACTTCCTGCCGCAGCGCCACCGTCACCAGCTCCAGCTCGTCGTACAGGGCGTGCGACTCGCGCAGCTCGCGCTTCATGGCGCGGATCTCGGCCACCGCCTTCTCGAAGCGGCCGCGCAGCTCCTCGAACTCCTCCACCACCCTGCAACGTGCAACAACACCGACTCATTAGTACAGAACCGCGAGAACAATGGACCCATGGGGCGCGGCAGCGCGGCAGCGCGGCGCCTCACCTCTCCTTGTCCAGCTCGTCAAAGCGGAGGTCCAGGTCGATGTTGGTGAGGTCGGACAGCGAGTCCATGCTGCGGCACGAGTTGCACGACGTGCTGCCCCGCAGCCCGCGCTCGCGCGACGCCGACACGGACGCCGTCACGGACAGCGCCAGCGCCGTGTTCCTGCCCTCCAGGTCGTGCAGGCGCGCGTACAGGCTCTCGTTCTCCTCCAGGCCGGTGGACAGCCGCTGCCGCAGCTCGTCCACGGTGGCCTTGGTGGCCTCCAGGTCGCCCACCAGGGTGTCGCAGCGCTCGGCCGTGGCGCGCAGGTCGCTCTCCGAGTGCGACAGCCTCTGCTCCCAGACGTCCTTGTCGTGGTGGTACCTTGGCGAGGAGAGAAAAGAATAACACTCATGTTCGACAACCGCAGTGCAGCACCCGGTTTAACGAAGATTTCGAGGCAAGACATGACGCGCGGACGCCTGCAAACGCCGAGGTAGGCCAACCCGCACGGCGAGGCGCGCGGCGGGCCGGCCTACCTGCCAGGGGCTCCAAGCAAGCCGATTCATCGCTCTGTCTCTGTCGCACTCGAACTCATACCCGAAGAGACAAAGCGACGAAACGACGCGTCGACGGTCTCAGCCGAAGCCCGAAGCGTGAAACCCGCCGGCGGCTGGTTCACTCCACTGGTTCGGCGAGTTGCCGCTGGTTGGCGCGTTGGCGCGTCCTGTTCTATATAAGGGCACAGGGCTGACGCCGGCTGACGCTGGCTGCAAGCTCACCTGTCCTGGACCTGCTGGTACAGGCCGCGCCAGTCCTGGCTGCGGTCCTGACTGCGCCACTCCTCGAGCAGGGCCTCGTGCTCGCGCAGCAGCGCGGCGTACCGGTCCTTGAGCGCGTCCAGCTCGCCCGCCTGGTCCGCCGCCTTGGCCGCCTCCCTGGTGCGCTGCTTGAGCTGCTCCTCGGTGCGCTCCAGCGTCGACAGCAGCTCCTTGACCTGGGCGCGAACAGGAGCGGGGCGTCAGAAAAGCAGAGTCTCAGTTTCAAAAAAATAAATTTCAAAATGGCGTCGACGCGCACCTGCCGCTCCAGGGCGCCGCTCTCCGCCTCGCGCTGCCGCAGCCGCAGCGCCTCGAGCTTCAGCTGGCCCTTCATGTCCTCCAGCTCGCGCTTCTGGCGCTCCGCCGTCTCCTGCAGCGACACCAACGACGACACGGCCAGGCGAGAGGCCGGCGATGACGGCGTGGGCTCGGGCGGCGTGTCCACCGACAGCTGCGAAACGGAAGGAAGGAAGGCTTTACGATTCGCCGCGCCGAACGGCCGCGCCGGCCGGAAGGCCTTCCTGCGTGCAGTGGGCGCTGGGCGCTCGAGTATCGATACTATCGAAGCGACCTCGAGGCGACGTTGCAATCACGATCGACCTCGTCGTTTCGACCACTCATTGTCGACTTACCCGGTCGTCGCCGTCGGACTCGGGCATCTCCCCGCAGCACGCCAGCACCACGTCCTCCGTCCGCACCGACTCCAGCGTCGACCTCCTGGACGACGGCGGCGACGACCTGGAGCGCTTGCAGACGCGCGACCTGCGAAAACAAAACGCCACTGTTAATAAAGCCGAGTTGAAGGAGCGACGGATGACGCGCGATGACGCGAACTCTGACCTGGCGCGTTCCTTGACCCTGGAGATGGGCGTCCGGTTGAGCGGCGGCGACGGCGGCAAGGACAGCGCCACCGTCTCGCCCCAGTCGCCGTTGCCGCTGTCCCGGTGCTGGTCCACGGCCCGCCCGGACTGGGTGCTGCCCGGCGGGGTGCCGCAGCCGCCGCAGCTCTCCGACGACGCCGTGCGGTACTCGTCGTCCGAGGAGAAGAGCAGGCCGCGGGCGCGCGCGTGGCCGGCGTGGCCGGCGTGGCCCAGACTCAGCGGACTGCTGCGGCCGCGCTCCCGCTCCGCGCACACCACACTGCGACTGCAACACGGAGGCCAGGCCCTTGTCGTTCAAAGTGTCGCCCACGTCATTCCGAGTGTGTCTGCACTGTGGCCCTGTTGGCCTGTTCCACTCCGGCGGACGCGACGCGACGCACTCTCGTACCCTCGTTACGCCCTATTGGGAAGCCCTCGCGGAAGTCGGCGGCGCGCGGAGGGAAAAGGGCGGGACCACGGTCTATTCTTTCGCGCGGCAGACGTCGCGCTGTCCCCCTGGCAACGACACGGGACGTCCCACGTGTTTCGTCAGGCCAAGAGCATTTTGCAGGCGTTCTGCGTTCGTCTACAGGTCCGTTTCGAGGTGCCTGGGCCTGTGCTGGCCCGGTGCGTGCCGCTGCGCCGCGCTGGCGACACGGCCATGGCGCGCCGTGGCGGCGACGTCCGGTAAGCACACTGTGTAATTGGATGTGGGCACACCGACGCGAGTCATGACCCAACCCGATCGGGATTGCCGATCGGGCCAACGATGACCTGCAAGTCCCACTAAAGTGGCGCTCCGCCCCGCCCCGCCCCGCCCCGCCCCGCCCCGCAATACGCGGCAGGGCATTATTGTTGTTATTATGTATTCGGCAGGCAGGCCGGGCAGGCCGGGCAGGCACTCCCCGTCGTCCCGTTGCGACAGCTAGGCCGCGCCGCCGGTGGCTTACTTCGCCTCGGAAAGTGATAACGGAGAACAAATAATAAAAAATTAACCATGCAAAAAAAAATACAACTCGGTAGCGCGGTGGCGGCGCCAAGCGGCGAAAAACTGCATTCAATCACGACCGCTTTTTAGCGCGCCGCTGCCGCCGCTGCCGCCTTTGCCGCCGCAGACAGGTTAGCCAAACTGCCGGCACGGCAATTTATTCAGGTTCCCACCGGGCCGTGGCGGCGTGGCGGTACCGCACCGCACCGCGGCAGGGCGAGGCGAGGCGAGGAGAGGCGCCGCTCGCGGGGGAGGCTAGGCTAGGCCATGGCTAGACGGAGCACGGCGTCGCGGCGGTGGCTGGCAGGCTGGCATCGCCTCCAACAAGTCCGACATTGAGGTCAGGCGAGGGTCTTTTCGCCCCTTTGCCTTTCGTCACGTGGTCGCCGCCTTGGTCGCGGCGCCGTGCCACCCGGTCACGCCTGTGCGCGCTGGGCCGCGCACCGCAGTGGAGGTGGAGGGGGTGACTGATGACTGAGGTCAACTCACTGGTGGCCACTGTCCAGCTCGCGCTCCAGTTTCTCCCCGAGGGTGAGAGTGATGTCCTGGGACGGCATGCCGGGCAGGGTGGCGGGCAGGCTGGACGGCAGGCTGGAGGGCAGGCTGGAGGGCAGGCTGGTGGGCAGGCTGGCCGGCAGCCCCAGCCCCGCCGCGCGCCGCACCGCCGCCATCCAGTTGGCGCGGATGCCCGAGGTGACCGCCGACAGCACGTACCGCCGCTCGTCCCAAGTCTGGGTCAACAACAAAAACACTCAGAAAACAAACACAAACACGCCGCAACATTGATGCTGTAGTCAATCGGCCCAGGGCCAGGGTCTGTTCACTCCGTCTCTCTCGCACTCACGGGCCGCGCCGTCGCGGTGCGAGAGAGGCACTGGCAAAACGGCCAAGCTCGCGAAGCTCACCATCATCTGGAAGCCGTAGTTGCGGGCGACCTGCACCTCGGCGATGCTGCTGATGCCGCTCAGGTCGATGACTCCGTCCAGGAGGCCCTTGTCCTCCGACGTGGGGTCGCGGTAGTACATGAGCGCCGCCCCCCGCAAGACGAACCAGTGTTTATTCCATTCCTGCAACACAACCTGCAGTTAGTAGGATTCCTCTCCTGCGCTGCCGACGGACGGGCGGGGCGAGCGGGACGCGGCAAGGGACGCGGGACGGGACGGGCCGAGACGGCAACGACGGAGGCAGCGCGCGCTGGCAAACTCATTTCCGTAACGACAGTAAGGATGTCACGATCGCACGGAGTAGAGAGGCGGCCCCGCCCGTCCCGTCCGCCGGCCCGGCAGCCAGCCACGCCGCCACGCCCAGCCCAACACGCGCGCAGCAGTGCCGCAGCAGTGCCGCAGCACGCGACGACCCCCTCCCGGGGCTCAAAGGGTTGCCGATGGACGGATTGAGGAGGCCGCCGTCAACCTCCGGAGGCCGCCGTCAACCTCCAGAGGCCGCCGTCAACCTCCAGAGGCCACCGTCAACCTAACTCACCTTGCTGGCGCCCTGCTTCATGAGCCAGCCCTTCTTGATGTTGAGCAGGTCCTCGGCGGGCAGGTCGACGCGCAGCTCCGAGCTGGGCGAGTAGCGCTGCGTGGACACGTCCAGGCCGCAGCCGTCTGGGTCCCCGCGCACCTGCAGCAGAAAGATACGTCGTCACGTCGCCGTCACAGTCACGGCGCGGCACGGCGCGGCACGGCGCGGCCAGCCACGCCCGGAGCACGCGCCAGACGAGCCGTCGCCCCGCCGGGCTTCTCAGAAACGACCCGCATTTCTATAAAGCTGTCGCCGAACGCAGCCAAACCGTGTCGCGGCAAGCCGCTTCAAGCGCTTCAAGCGGTGGAAGGGGGAGGCGGAAGAACGCGGGGAGTCGGGGCAAGGCGGGGCAAGGCGGGGCACGATGCACGGGCCACGACGAGCAGGCGAGCAGCCCGGAGAGAGAATTACAGATTAAAAGTTGTTGCAGCGTCGCCGTCGTGGTCGTCCGGCTGGGCGTGTCTTTGCCAGCCCCCTCGACTGCCTCAGCCTGGCCTCAGCCTGGCCTCAGCCCACTCCCCACCGCCGCATCACACGCAGCAGTTTGGCAAGGCTTCAAATGAGCGGACGGTTAGGCCGGGGCGTTAGTAGAACAACGAGATTCCCCATTCCCCCCACGACCGCCTCAGCCTCCAAGCCTCGACACGCGGCTAGCGGTGCGTCGGGAGGGCCGGCCCCGCTGCCAGCGTGCCGCCGGCACGGCCAGGCAGCCAGGCAGGCAGGCAGCCAGGCAGCCAGGCCCCACAGGACGAACAGGTTGCTACCCCTTTCCAGGTCAAATTGCAAAAAAAAAAAATCATTTAAAAGAAGTTTTGGGAGTGCTGCTGTGACGTTTTGGTTATTTGGTCGGTTTGGTTCCGTCTGATGGGTCTCAGTTTTGCTAAAATTTAATATTCTCTCACACGGTAAAAATTTAAAGAAAAAATCCTAGTTGAGGGCAAGAAATGAAACTTGGTCCTCACCTGCTTGCCACTGTCGCCGTCGCGGGTGGGCTGGTGCTGGTGTTGGTGCTGCTGCAGCGAGGGCGACAGCGACGTCCTGGCCATCATGGTCCTGGAGCTCCTCGTCCTCGTGATGGACGCCGCGATGTCCTTGAGCTTCTCGTCTCGCTTGCACTCGTTGGCGATCTCCCGGAACAGCACCCTCCTGGCGGCCTCCTCCTTCTCGTCTGAGGGTAGGGAAGACAGCGTGAGCAAAAACAAAACAATAAATTAAAAATCCCGTTTCTTTCAAATCATGATTTTGAGGCAGCAAGCGTCGCACGTCAATGGGGACGAGCAAAGAACAACGAACACGGATTTCAAGACGAGGCAAACACACCAAGGTACCGGATAGAGGACAAAATGTGGAGAATCGCCGAAGCATCGGTTGTGAAAACGATTCACGAAGCAGTTCGGAAATTACGTCAATTGCCGTGTCTACTAGTTGAACACGATCAGCCGACATTATGCAGTCCCATCGTACACGGCCGGTGAGACTGCGGGGCTGCGGGGCTGCGGGGCACAGGGCCGGCCGAGGGCCAGAGGGGCCAGACTGCACAGAGTCGTGTTCGAGCCGGCTTCTGGCAATGGGCTGCAGCTACCCTTGGCGAGTGTGTAAACACCCGCGCGTTTTCACAACCGATCCTTGGCGGACTCCCGGAGAGACACACGAAAAGCACATCTGGAGGTACGACAAGCCAGGACACGGGAGGGCCGGGCGGGAGGGACGGACTCACCTCGGCCGTCGGACGACAGCTTGGAGTCCCTCCACGAGGGCAGCATGCTGGCGAAGTCCTCCGAGAAGCTGCGGCCCGACTTGAGGCCGCGCTCGCGCTTGTACTGCACGCGCCGCGTCCGGTTCTTGTCCTCGCTGGCCACCTTGTCCCTCGTCGGCGGCGACCCGGAGGACGCCGGCTGGTCGCGGTAGGCGGGCACCTCTCGGGGCACCTGGCCGGGCAGCGCCGCCACCGGCAGGCTGGTGGACAGCGTCACTGGGGGAGGGGAAGGGGCGCGTGACTAGAGTGGCCAGGGGGCAAGCGTCGCTACACTCTACAACACGGTGGTGGCTACAGTGCGGGTTCCAGTTCACAGTGGCGCGGGCCCCTTGCGACGGGGCCGCGTACGCACGTAAAAAAAGAATTTGTTGTGACAACGAAAATGTATGTTGATTTTGGGATAGCAAAAAAAAAGTTGTTAGACGTACTATAAATTTGTTGTGAGAACGAACACTTTGCTCTCACGACAAATTATTCGTCAGGAGCACAAACATTCATTTTTATTATGTTTAGTACTCCTGACGATATAGTTCGTTGTCAGAACGAAATGTTCGTTCTGACAACAAATTGATAGTACGCCCAACAACTTCTTTTAGCTATCCCAAAATCAACATACATTTTCGTTGTCACAACAAATTCTTTTTTTCCGTGCGGAGCGGCCTACCCTCCGGGCGTTTTCGCCGGCTTGACTGGCGCTCAGTCAGTTTCCTGCCGGTGCTGCGCAAACGACAGACTCGACGACGGAGTGCCCTCCTAAGTGTGTCACCACTTCGGGTGTGCACACTGCAAGGCAGCGAAGGGCGCGCCGTGCCGCGTAAAAACGAAAAACGTATACGAGTCGTAACTTTTCACTTAGAGCCCAACGTCGGAAAACGTTTTGCTTTCCTTTTTGGCGTTGCATCCCAAAGCGTTATATAGTGTAGGCGCCGCGTGCACGCGCGCTTTTACGGGTCTTTGGTCTTTCCAGCGCCCGAGCGGCCCGCGCGGCCCGAGCCCGATAAAAATAAGGACCTTTTTACACCCCGAGTCCTGGACGGGGTCCTGGACGGGGTCCTGGACGAGGGCCTGGACGTGCATCGCGCGCAGGGAACAAGTGGCAAAGCAACGCAGCACATATCACATCACATCACTTCTCACCGGCGGCACGGCGCGGCAGGGCAGGGCGTGGCGCGGCACGGCACAAGCGAGGCGAGGCGTGTGTCATAACACGTGGAAAGGGATAAGCTTGCCGAGATAAGCCTCTACGTCCAGCACGGTTTTGAGCACCGGCAGTAAGTGTGTGTGCGTGCGTGTGCGCGCGCGCGTTGACACGGGCATTCACACACTGTGTGTGTGTGTGCACTACCACACACTCACCTTTCCTCGCGTCCGCCGCCATGGCCGTCATGCCGGAGAGCGAGGACAGCGACGGCATGGGCGAGTCCACGACGTCCCTGGTGGGGAAGACGTCGTCGTCGTCGTCCTCGTCGTCGTCGTGGTGGTCCCGGACGCCGTCCCGGACGCCGTCCGCGTCGCCGCCGTCCTGCACCGACAGCGGGCGCACGCCGTCGGCGTCCCAGCAGCCGCCGAAGCGCGGACGCACGTCCGTCACGGAGGTGGACACTGCGGACAGAAAGCACGACGCGGTCCAAACTCAGAACTCGGCCCGCGTTTAAACACTCCCCTGTTTCCCGCTTCGCGCCCGCGAGGCCCGCCAAGACACCAGGGCCTTAATTACTTTAACACACCACCTCGGCGTGGCGCACGGAGGCCAAGAATTTAGTCGAGTTCGTTTAGCGAGTGGCCGCCAGAGGGCGACGCGTCGTGAGGCAGTGCGGAGGGGCCTAACTGCACGCCCACAGTGTAGTGCCACCAACAGTGTAGACCTCAGACGAGTGCGTAGTGCACCAGGCGTTTGCATCACAAACTGCCCACTATTTATGAGCGGTTTTTCAGGTAGTTTCCCAGTGAAGGTACGTGCGTTTAGGTTCGGCGTGGTGCATTGAGGGCAAGAAGTGGCGGGCCCCTCGAGGGTTGGGTCATGTTGTCGGGTCGGGGCGCCTCGAGTAGGACTGCAGCAGCCAATCGTGGAGCTAACGCGAGCTAACGCCGGCTAACGCCAGCAGACCCGGCCGCGCCAGTCCGCCAGTCCACTGCTAATGACAGTGTCGGGTCGGCTCCGTGGCTCGGCCTGGCCGGCCCGGTCGTTGGCGTCCGTTTTCCGTTTTCCGTTTCCGTGGACCACACTTGTTTTTATAGTGCCGTTTTCCCGCCACTGCTCGGCCGCTCGGCGCTCCACAGTGGGCCAGAAGACCGGTGGAGGCGGTCAAAACTCTAGACGCGTTTTGAGCTCCAGCGTCGCTAAATGGGACTCGAATCGAACGCGTGACCCCACCAATGGATTGCTCTCCGAACGAGGAATCCATTGGCGGGGTCACACATCCGGTTCAGTGACTCTGCAGCTCAAAACGCATCTAGAGTTTTGTCCGCATCCACCGGTCTTCTGGCCCACTGTGCGCTCGGCTCTCGCTCCGCCACTCCAGGAAGCTGAGCGGCGTGGCGGGGCAGTGCGGCCGAAGCCGGTGCGGCTCGCTTGCAGTACAACTCGCGGACAACTTTAAGCTCTCGCGGTTCTCGCTCTCGCTCCGTCCAACGTCGCTCTGTCTCTCTCGCACCCCTACGGGACGCCCCATGAGAGCGACAGAGACAAGACACTGTGGGATCGTTCGGGTTCTTCCATCCCCCTCGCACTCACGGGGCGTACCGCAGGGGTGGGAGAGGGACAGAGCCACACTCACCTCGGAGGGGCGCGGGCTGCGGCGTGGAGGTGGACAAGGCGGACTTGCCCTGCTGGCCGGCGGGCGTCGGCGGCGATGAAGACACGCCGCCCAGGGATCCCGGCAGTGTGGCGGTGCGCTTGTGGCGACCCTGGAACGACAGACAAACAGCGTCAATCCCTTTCCAACCCCTCGTTTCAATCGCCTCTCTCGCGCAAAATTCCTCGAGACTTTTGAAACTTTTTGCTTCCAGAACACTAGAAAGCCGCTTTTTGCACGGTCCTAGTTGCGGGCGTCATTATTGACGAAAAAGCGTCCGCCTTCGGACGGTACACTGTGAGTGCAGTGTACACCAGTACCTTTGCCTTATTCACAAAGGACATGGAAAAGAACAATAGACACACGCTGTAAACCGGGCAAAACGGCGCTCAAACTGCCGGCCCAACCGACCAGAGAAAATCCACCCGGACAAACAACTGGACAGGCAAAAAAAAAGAAAAAGAAAAAAAACAAACAAACACACCAGATAGCAATGGCAAGGGAAAAGATTCGCAAAGGGCTTTATTGGCGAACAGACTAACAGACTGGGAAGGAGGAAGAAGGGCTGGCGAGGCGAACGGTTCTGCGAACAGTTGGTTCAGCGCCGCCAAATCGCCGGCAGGGTTACGACTCGCTAGCAGCCAGCCAGCCGGCACCCACCGGCACCGGGCAGCGCCGGGGAAAAGCCAGCAAAAGCCGGGCACGGCGGACTGCTCCGATCACAAGTGGACTCGCTTTTTCAACTCAACTGCTGAGAAAATATGGCGAACTTGGCGAAAAGCCTACCTCCCGAGAAAATGCCCCGAAAGTGAGAGCCAGAGGGAGAGGGGGGGGGCAGAAGGACAATTGCCCCTCCCTTGACCCCTAGATAGCCGCCTAAAGGGTAGGCAAAAAGCAACACTTTGCCCCTGAAAGCAGGCCAAAAGTGCTTTTTTACCCCCCCCCCCCTCCCTCAGGCCGTCCCTGGATCCGCCACTGAGTGAGAAGCCTGGCTACAGAGCGTATTGCCCACTGACATCGCCATTCTCGACAGTGCGCCTGCCACTCCACACAGTGCACCACCCCAAGATGTTCGAAATCGCACTGCAGTTCGACGACTGACCCTCGCCCACACTGACTGGTGCATTGGCACTCGGGGGAGCGGGGAAAAAGCGCAGGGAGCGCCACAGCGAGACAGTCCGGGCACTAAACCAGGAGCACTGGAGCCTTCAATGCTTCCAGGCGCTTCCAGGAGGAACCAGACTGTAACAAAGGCGGGCGGGCGCAGTGGCCGCGGAGCCGCGGACGGCGACGAGGACCGTACTTATTTCTAGTATTTTAGAGCGCGTACTTGCAAAAAAAAAAATTGAAAAAAAATATGAAAAAAATCATAAAGAAATGGCAGCAACCGAAAAACGCACTCCACTCGACTCCACTCAGCATGCAGCCATGCAGCATCCTCGAGTTATCTGCTTCATTTCTCAGCGACAAGTCGGCCGGGCGTGCAGGGCGTGCAGGCACAACAAACTCATCCATCGCCACTTTGCCGCTTGCACCTGACGGCCTCACGGCCTCTTGGACGGCCTGGCGGGGCGTGGGGACAGGTCAGGTCCCGTCGTGAAAAATCGTGCCGATAATCAGGCAAGGTTTCGCTCGGCCGCGCGCATTCGCTGGCTGCGCCATTTTGCAGCGTGCGAACCGCGATTTCGCGCATACCCCTAATAGCGTCGTCACGCAAAGTTGGTCGAAATGTCACAAATATCTCAAAGTTGCCAAGTCTGCTCTCAGCTCCCAAATCTGCTCTAAGCTCCCAAATTCAAAAATTTAAAAATTAATAAATAGGGTCTCTGACTGACCAAGCCTCAAACTACACGTACTTATCTGTCCACCCAAAGAGCGAAACCTCAGTAAAAACACGCGCGCGTACGGATTAGCAATACTGGGGCAGGCCCGGGCAGGCCTCGGCAAAAATAAATAAATAAGCGGACGACTCGCGGACCTTAAAATCCGGTCCATCGAGTACCAGTGTACCAGTGGTGGCACGTCGGGGCAACACGTGTCCCCCTGGGCCCCTCAAGGGGCCCCTCTGAGGGCGCGGCCGGCCGTCCGGCCCTTGCAAGTGACCCAGATCCGCCTTCCGGCCGGCTTAAAATCCAGCTCATTTGCTGACCTCGGAGAGCGGGGCGGGGCGGGGCGCGCCGGCGACTCGATGCGACCCATTACGTTTTAATGTGGACCATCCCGAAACGGAACGCCCCGCCCCGCCCCGCCCCGCCGGCCATTCACTTTCCAAGGGGAGTATTTAAATGAAGTGACGATGCCGAAACGAGAAGGAGGACGACGGGACCGGTGTGCCGCCAGAGTGTCGCGGGTTCGAGTCCCAGCTCCTCCAGTCATTTTTTTTTCGCGATTTTTTTTTGCATTTTTTTTTGCGATTTTTTTTTACATGTGTTTTACAGCCATTCCTGCTCAGGGTTTCCCAGGGTTTCCCAGGGTTTCCCAGGTTTCCCTCCGGATTTCCTCACCTTACTCCTCGGGAAGACGGCCAGCACGTCGCCCCACCATCGGCACTCCTCGCGGCACGTCCCCTTGACGAAGGTGACGGAGTCGGGGGCGGTGACGGCCAGCGAGAAGGCGTTGCCCGTCACCGCCTCGGCGTCCGACACCTCCAGCACCTTGTTCATGTCGATGGAGGCCTGGGGCACCGTCTCGGGCTGGAACACAAACGGGGCGCGTTAGACAGAAGCTTCAGGACAGGGCGTCGCCAAGCTAGTTGAAACAACCTTTTAGTCTTATCTTCTTTCAGGCTGAAACTGTGTTAGCGCAAATGAACCCTGCAGGGCGCAACGAACCCGCCATGTAACATCATACACTGGCCGCTTGAAGCGACTCCGCCACGCCGCCGCTAAAAATACCTGTTCGCGCCTTGTTTCCGACTCTGTTTTACACCTTTCTTTTTCTGACCCCGACATTTTTTTCCCCTTTTTTCCCTCTGCCAACCGAGGATGACAAAGGCGGCGTGTGACTTGGCGCGTCATGGCTATGGAGCCGGACAGCCCGGTTGGCGGGGCCGGCGGCCACACGAGGAGTACACGGCCAAGAAGGCTGCCGAAAACAAACCGAGCCGCAGTGCTCATTGGCGTTCGTCGATGACGGCCACGCCAACGGCCTTGGCGGATGTCACCGCGAAGCCGCGAAGCGCGAAGCCCCGAAGGAACGCCGCCTGAGGCTTCATTTCCTGGGGCTCCCTCCGCACACCCAGAAGGGGCCCCGCCCCGCCCCGCCCCGCCCCGCCCCGCCCCGCCCCGCCCCGCCGTGTGGTGTATCGCCTTACATCTCACGCCGCAGCGCGCCGCGCCGCGGTACACCGCCGGGCCGCCACGCCACGCCGCACCACGCACAGGGGCAGGGCAGGCAGGCCAGAGCGACGTCCGTGCACGTGCGACGGCTGTCTCATGGTCACCGCCAAAAAAAACTTTTAAAAAATCTTTCAAAATTTAAAAAAAAAATGACCAAAAAAGAAGGAACTTTGTCCAAAAAATAATGACGTAAAGAAAATTCAGTTGACGCCACGCAATAGCTTCTATTTCCAGGCACTTTGGCCCGTCGAAAATCGTGCACGCCTTGTTCGAGTGACGGTCGAGTCATGACTCTCGCGCCCGAAAACAAATGGCCGCACGAAGACGGAGAGGACTGCATGCCGGGTCGAGAGAGAGAGAGCGAGAGAGCGAAGCGAAGGCGTGTGGATTTTACGGTGGGGCATGATGGCTAACGAGTAGGTAATATCTCTGTCGGGGGAAATGGTCGGGAGTGGCGCGGCGGGAGCAGTCAGGCGAGATGTCATCTCGTCTCGACTTCTTGACCACCCCGCCCCGCCCCGCCCCGCCCCGCCACTGTCACCGGCAATTATTTCCCTTCTGTGGGCTATATAGCCGCACCGGGTGCGGCGGGGCGGGGCGGGGCGGGGCGTTCCCGATGATATCGCGGCCCATTTGTCGCCTGTCCGCGCACGAAATTTTTGTTGGCGTTTGTCCCGAAATGCCGCCGCGGCGCGACAGCGCGACATCATCATGTCCTTCTCCGCCTCGAGCCGCACGCGTCTTCTCTCTCTCTCTCTCCTGGACACCTTGCGCGCGGGCAGGCGGCCGAGAAAGGGATCCAGATAGCGCGAAGGTGAGGGCCGTTGTCCCGGCCGCCACATCGTGGGTCAATGTTAGGCGCGTCCGACTACAGCTTGCAGCTTACAGTGTGCACACACTGTGCCCCCGCTGCACTGGGTCGCGTTCCGCCGCGCCTGGCTATAGTCGGACGCGCCCAACACCTAGGCGCGCTGCTGCAGTCCAGGTGGGAGGCGGCCCAGCCGGCCCAGCCGGGCCAGGCCCATCCACGTCGAGCCCACGGCGGTAGGCGTGGAGGGTGGAGGGGGTCATTGACAGATCCACCACCCATGACTTGCACCCGGCCACGGCAGCCACGGCAGACTCCGGCCGTCCGATCGGCCAAAGGCGGCCAAAGACGCTGAGGCCCTCCTGGTCCTTCGGCCTTCGGCCCTTCCGATGCAGTACACCGCCAGCGCCTAGTGTAACAGGGCGTGCTTGGCCTCGACGCGGACGTCCCGTTGGCGCTGCCCCGCCCCGCCCCGCCCCGCCCCGCCCGACACAACCCGGCGCGCATCCCTGCCCAAGCTGCAGCCACTTAAAAGCTAATCAAGACCAGCAGCTCGATCCCGAGCTGTCTCTCTCGCGCCCCTGCGCCGCCAACGCGCCGCCCCGCGGGTGCGAGAGAGACAGCGCGACGAAGCGTTGCCGACGATGCCCGGAACCGCTCGGCGTCGCTCGGCGGAGGACCACGCAGCCCAGCCTATCGGGCGGCTGCAGCGGCACTGCAAGCCACTGCACTGCAGCATCCCGTGCACTTGCAGTGCAGCGCCGTGATTACTAATTTCACCGGGGAGACAGGGAAGACACCTCCCGGCATCGCTCTGTTGTCTCTCTCGCACTCCGAGGGCGTCCCGTGCAGGTGCGAGTGAGACAGAGCGACGAAAAAGGACTCTCGGCTTCGGCCAGCGCCGCTCCGTTCAACGTCCTCCAGCCCCTCCCCCCCCCTCCCGGTTCGGTGCCAAACACGCCGGGCGTACAGGCGTACAAATACGAGTCATTTTGAATACGGCGACTCGGTGCGAGCGAAGGGAAGGCTATAGGTTAGACACACTACACGGCGCCAAAGTTCAAGGTGGGGCCTGTCTGTCCGTCCGCCTGTCCGTCCGTCGGGCCGTTGCGTGGCGAGGCCGGGCGAGGCGGCCAGGGGACGGACGGAGGGGCGCGCCCTCGCAGCACAAGTGGGGCCCAAAGGCCCGAAGGGAACGCTCTCCGTCGCGCGACACGAAAATGACCGCCTCGGCAAAAGGGGCGACTATCTTCCGACTATCTCCGCGCGCCAATGTTAATTGCAGCGCTTTTTTATTAAAATATAAAATCTTTTTTCCCACAGCGACACGAGACAACGGTACCGCGGGTGTGATCGCCGAGCCGGCACTTTCTGTCTCTCTCGCACTCGTGGGTCGTCCCGTACGGGTGCGAGAGAGACAGAGCGACGAAAACGACTCTCAGTCTGCTGATGACCCTGGAGGACGCGCTGCCGCCGCGGCCGGAGCGGCCAGAGCGGCCAGCACGCCAAGGGCCCCGTCTTTGTCCAGAGTCATTTTCCGAACGCACGCCCTCTTCCCCCTCCCCTCTCGCTCGGCGCACTGCGGCGCACGGGAAGAGGAAAATTTGTTCCACGAAACGATCATTCTGCATGCAAATTGTACCGATTGAGATCCATCTTGTGAGGGCACTTCACATTTGCATCGTGCTCTGCCGCTCTGCCCACCCCGCGCATGCACGCACCGTCTCCCTCGCGTCGCGCCGCCTCCACGTTCCATGTACTCCCATTTCACTTTCGCAAGGCTCCCTGCCAATCCTGCCAAGTTCGCCCCGCGGCACCCTGCGGCACCCTGCGGCACCCTGCGGCCAGCCGGAGCCTTCTTCTTCCTTTCACACATTTTATTTTTATTTTTTATCTTTTTTTTTCACCCAGCGGCAGGACGTTTGAACAAGACGTGCAGCGCACATCAGTGCAGCAGCGCTTGATTATACCTCTGCGTACGTTTCACTCAAGGTGCCCGGGCAGGGCGATGCGGGTTTGCCTATCGCCATGCTTCACGGGCTGTCCTCAGCTCAGAGCTGGCTAAAGGAACACCAAACAACAATTTTGAAACACATTTTCTTTTCTTTTTTTTCGCAATTTTTAGTTTCATCCCCGCACTTGTAAGCGAGCGGAACGCACGGGCTGGGACCATCCAGCCATCTAGCCTCCGCCTCGTTGTTGTTCATTTTTTCCTCTCTCTCTCTCTCTCTCTCTCTCTCTCTCTCTCTCTCTCTCTCTCTCTCTCTCTCTCTCTCTCTCTCTTTTTCTTTTCCTGCACAAGAAAGACTTGCTGACTAAGTCATGCAAACGCCACGGGCGCCGCGCCGCGCCACGTCGCAAATTATTCCTCACCAACGCATCAACATGGCTGGAGCACACTTGCAGTCATAATGAGGGGCAACCAACTCTCGTGTGCGTGTGTGTGTGTGCATGTACACTTGCATGCATGGTCGCCAGTGTGTGTGGGTGAGCGGGTACTGAATTAGAGTTCGCACGTTCCTTCTCACGATGTGCGCCTGACCTACGCCAAGATGAATAGCGCCTTGGCACCCGTATGCACCTGTTGTTCGTGTGTGAGTGTGTGTGTGTGTGTTGTGTGTGTTAGTTTACCGGAAAAGAACGAAACGGCCTGTCGAAATGACTCGCCGCCGTCCTCTATCCCTCCCCGTCGAGAAGTATGGGAGTTCAAAAACTCGTTAACCGGACCGATATTGCACAACGTGAGCCTCAACGACGTTATTCTGTGTGGGTATTTTTTTTTCGAGTGCATTTGCAACACGCGCAAAACACACACAGAAGCACGCTCGCGCGCGCGCGCGCGCGCACACACACACACACACACACACACACACACACACCAAGGAGCACACGGCCATCACTTGCGCAACAGGCAGCTGCATTCTTATTGCCACTTGGTGCAGGCATAGCCGACGACGCATCGACAGGAATCAGGCGCGCGTCAACCACGCAACAAGCCAACTTAACAAAAGAAACAAAAAAAAAAAAAAAAAAAACGAAATTTTTATGTTTCTGACTTTGTTGGATTTTAAAATATTATGACTCGGCGTCCGAATTTCAGACTGACTCCTGCTGTAAACAGCTGTAGGACCATATTCAAATCTAGTGTCTCTAAGCCTCATGATGTTTTTCCCCCGAATATTTATCATGGCTTTACTCGTTGTATTTTTAATAGTTTCTTTCTTTTTTTCTCTCTCTTCTTACGACAATCCGTGTGCTTTTCTTTGCGGCGTGCCAGGTCTTCGAGGCTCGGTCTTCCAGCCAGACGCGGCTCAGCGCGGGGCTTGGCCGGGCTTGGCCGGGCTTGGCACACGCGGTCTGTCTTGTCCAGCCACCCCGCACCTGTCGCAGCGGCCGCGCCGCGCCACGCCGCGCCACGCCCCGCCACGCCCCATCGAGCCCCAGAGTGTTGTCGACCTCGGCCGGCCCCGGCGGGGGCCCCGGGTGGGGCGGGGCGGGGCTGCGTGGCTGCAGGGCCCGGCGGAGCGGCTGGTCCAGCCTCGAGCGCCCCGCCCCGCCCGCCCCGCCCGGCGCTAGGCCGGTGTACTCATTGTCCAAATCACACAACACAACAAGACCCGGGCCGGGCCGGCCGCCCGGACGAATCAAGGCTCTACAGTCCTACAGTGCAGCAGGCGCAGTCGGCCGACTCAAACAATATTTCATGTCGGTGGAATGAGTCCCCGCCGCCACGCCGTCTCTCTCTCTCTCTCTCTCTCTCTCTCTCTCTCTCTCTCGTCCAGCTGGTCCGCCCTCGGCTGACCGAGCGCACGCCTGGACAACGCAGCCGCACCAAAAGAAAGTTTCCAAAGTTCCAGTTGGATTCGGCACAGTGTTGAGTCCCTCCGCGGCGCCGCGTGGGAGCGAGAGAGACAGAGGCGGCCGCCCGCGTCGCCTTTCGTGCCGATAATTAAAAGTGCAGGAGAAGGCCGCGGGCCGCGGGGAGGGCGTGCCGGGGAGCCTTGCCAACTCATTTTCGTTCAAACGTGTCCCCTGCCTCGTCGCCCCGTCTCTCTCGCACCCTTCCGGAACGCCCCGGGAGTGCGAGAGAGACAGACAGCGGGCGGAAAGCACACTGCTCGGAATCGTCCCTTCCTAGGGCACCGCGGACCCTGACCCACCCCGCCAAAACTTGCCAACGGTCTCCAAAGCAGTTAACAGATTTTGTCGTTTTTTTTGGTTGGTACTACTTACGTGCTCGTCCACCGAGTAGCTGAGCTCCCCGTCGTCGTACAGGACGAACCAGCGGCGCTGCCATCTCTGAAAAAGAAGACGAAAGACAAATTGAAAAACACGGAAAATAGAAGTGAACTGGAGCTTACAGTGGAGCGCCGTGCGCGCAGGCAAGCCCGCAACGCACGCATGGCCTGCGGGTCGGCCTACCCTGGAGTTCGCAGGCGCTATCACGCGGGAAAACACTACGACACACACTCAGAAGTTTTTATTCGATGCTCTTCGCCTCGACACTCCTTCCCTTCCTGCAGTCCTCTTTTTAAAAAAAACGTAAACAAAAACAACAGTGTATAAAAACAGTGCAAAAAAGTGACGCGGTAAAAATTTCCAAGGTTTATCGCGGCCTTCCCGGGGTTGTTCGCGCGGCGAGTCCGAAAACATGAAAAACCGGTGCACCTCGTGTGTGTGTGTGTGTGTGTGTGTGTGTGTGTGTGTGTGTGTGTCTGTCTGTCTGTGTGTGCGCGCAAGTAGGCGGTGAGGCGAGGCGAGCGTCCGTCCACCAGCTTCTCTTCGCGATTCCGCATTTTCCTCGCATTTTCAGCGACTTCCCAGGACCTGGCCTAACAGCCTTGCCATAGCAACGTTCGTCCGGAAGCGGACCGGAAGTAGACCTGAACCGTACCGGAAGCGAACCGGAAGCTAATCGAAGGTCAGGCGGCAGTTGCAGCTCCGAAACATCCCTCCTGCTCCTCCAACTTCGGCGGCTCGCTCGCTACCCCGCACGCTGTGCAGCACGCTGTGACCGCTTCATCAGCGACTATATAAAACTAAATTTCGCAACGCGCCGACCGGTAAGACCAGACCGGCTGGCTGCTGCGGCGTCTGCGGCGCGGCCGGGAAAAGTGACGGACTCAGAATCCTGGAGGAAGGGCCGCGCCACTGCAAGGGCAGCGAGGGCAGCGAGGGCCTCGCGAGGAGAAGGCCTGCTCCAAGGCCGGCAGGGCCAGGGCGGTGTCGGCGTGTCTTTCGGAGAGCAATCCATTGGTGGGGTCACACGTTCAGTTCGAGTCCCATTTAGCGACTCTGGAGCTCAAAACACGTCTGGGATTTTGTCCACCTCCACCGGTCTTCTGGCCCACTGTGCGTCGCCCTCCGAAGCTAAATCCACGCAGCTTATGTGGACGGGCCGCGCCGCGCCTGCAGGGCCCAGGCCGCCTAGGCTAGGGAGGCCGACGGACGGCCGCGTGCTTGTCCAGCAGGGGGGCGGGGGGCAGGGCATCGCGCTTGTGAAAGTGAGAGCGCGATGTGACGTCGCCTGCGACAAGCCGTGACAGGTGCAAAGGGCCAGCAGGCGGCCCGCACGGCCAGCACGGCCAGCGCGGCCACCAGGGCCGAAAGGGCGCGGAGATGATCTACAGACACTGCGCGCCGCGCCGCCACGCCGCCGCCACGCCGCCATGTACGCGTCGTCGTCGTCGGCGGCGGCCTTATCCAGGGGGAGGGGGAGGGGCGGGGAGAGGCACTCCATCCCTGTCGCCGCGTCGCCGCGTCGCCGTCCCCGAGACCGCGAGCGCCGCCAATGCGCCTCGCCGCTTGGCCGCTCCGCCGCATCGGCGCGCTGTGTGTAGTGTATTCGCGTGACGCAAGGCACGGACTGACGGACGACCCGCTGTGTCACACCGGGAGCTCGCTCTCTCCCTGCGGGTGCGAGAGAGACAGGGGCCGTACCGCAGCCTTGGACCAAGGCCCTCCCGGCTCGGCCTGGCCGCGGCCGGCCGCCGTGTCGCGGAGACGCAGAGACGCGGACAAGCCTCAAAAGCACATAACGTGCTTTCCATCTGCTTGCTATTCTCGTCGACACGCCGGAGACACGTCGGAGACACGTCGGAGACACGGGCCGTAAGCTTGGCCACCGCGTGCGTGTGTGTGCGTGCGCGCGTGTGTGTGAGTGTGAGTGCAGGACGTGCAGGGCCAGAGGCATCAAGCTTCAAGGTGCACAGGACGGGAGCGCGTCGTCGTCACCGCAGGGGTCCTCTCTCTCTCTCTCCCTCTCTAGCACGGGTAACAGCAGAAGCTGAACGACAGTGTGTCCGCTGGCTCCGCTGGTGCACTAGAAAAGTGGTAATCCCTCACCGCCTGCCTCCCGAATCGTCCCGAATCGTCCCGAATACCCGGAATGCCCCGACGGAATTCGCAGTCACTGCACGGTGGGCCAGACGACCGGAGGAGCAGCCAAAACTCCAGACGCGTTTTGAGCTCCAGAGTCGCTAAACAGGCCTCGAACCGAACGTGTGACCCCACCAATGGATTCCTCGTTCGGAGAGCAATCCATCGGTCACACTGTGCACTGCGCGTCCCGGGGTCCCAGGCTTAACGCTGCACCTGCCTGCTCGCCTGCAGACTCATTCCGAGAGTCGTCCCTCTCTCTCGCACCTGTCCGGGACGCCCCGTGAGTGCGAGAGAGAGAGAGAGCTGCCTTGCACACGTCCGCTGCATGCTGCATGGCTGCACCGACGGCCATTGCGTCACCAAAAGCCGTCGCCGCGCGCAGAAACGCGGTCACCAAATAAAAACGCAAAAACGCGAAGCAAAAAGAAGAAAAAAAGTGTTCCCGTATGACTGGTCAATTGCGCAAAAGCGGAAAGTAAAACTGGGTCACGGAATCAATGACGGAAACGACTTCAAAGAGAACGACCGAAAATTAAGTCAAAGACGCGGGTAATTTTTGTCTGTTTCTCCTTTTTCGCTCTCTGTCTTTCTCTTTCTCTCCCTGATCGGCAGTCTCATCAATCGTTGCATGGCGTTGCGAGGCGTTGCGAGGCGCCGGGCCCGGCCGGGCCACACGGCCGCATATCGCCGCCGGTTGCAATTTAATTTTATTTTTACTCCCTCCTTTTTTTTCCTGTTTTCTTTTGCGATGCACCATCAGACATGAGCGCGCGGCGGTCGCTGCCGTTGCGGGTGAAAGCTGAGATGCGCGGTGCCGCGGTGCCGCAGTGTGGTGGTGCCGAGCCGCGGTGGCGCGAGTGGCGATGCCGCGACCACGCCGCGCCGCGCCGGTGTGCCCCGGGCAGCCTCTCTCTCTCTCTCTCTCGCACCCTGCGGGCCGGCCCGAGAGAGAGAGAGGAGAGAGAGAGAGAGAGAGAGAGAGAGAGAGAGAGAGAGAGAGAGAGAGAGAGAGAGAGAGGAGCACTGTTCGGAATCAGACTGCAGACGAGTCTGGTGTGCCGCTGCGGTCACTTCGGCTGGATCGGGAAAGACGAAGAGAGAGAGAGAGAGAGAAAGGGGGGGAGGCGGAGGCGAGGGGTCACAGCAGCAGCATCGCATCTCGCGCAACTTTTCTAGTGGTGCGGTGCGCGCCGGAAAGGAAAAGTGAGCCTACACGCGAAAATGACCGTCAAAATTGGAGTTGAGTGTATTTGTAACCGAAGCACCACTGGCGGGGAAGAATTTTCAAACGTCCACACACGATTCACCCTGATCATCAATATGCGACAGGGGTTTCAAAATTCGTCGATTCCGTATGCATCAGTGTGAGTGTGTGAGTGAGAGAGAGAAAGAGTATGACTGCGTGTGTGTGGGGAGGGGGGGGGTTGCCGGCTAAGGTAGCGAACCTCGTGGCTTGGGCCGCGTCGGGCCGCGTGGGGCCTGCTTGGATGTAGCAGCGTGTTGTGGGCGGTCCAATAACCAGTCATGTGGGTGATCCAACCGACGGACGGGGCCGAGGGGGGAAAAGGAAGGCAGGAGGGGGGGACTGCACTCCAGACCATCGACCCCGCAGCAGCAGCGCAGGTACACTGCACCGGTAGGGTGGTCGCCCGTCATCGCGGGGACGCGGGTTCAATCACCCGCTCACTTTTTTTCTCTCTTTCGCTGCTTTCATTGGCCTCGCCACCCCCGCAGCCGCGGCCGTGAGCCGATGTCACTTCGCGACGGGGCACTGCAGGCCTCTCCACACCTTTTCAGGACTTTCCAGGTCCTTTTCCGGACTTTCCAGGCTCTTTTCCAGGACTTTCCAGGCTGCCTGGCGGTGCCAATGGCCGGTCGATTCGCGCGGGCTGCAGCGGGCAGCGGGCACTGCAACTGGACAAGACGGCTTTTCTTTGGCGGGACGGGCCTGCGACGGGCCGCACCGCACCAGCCATACGCCATACGGGGAAGTGCAGGGCGACGGCCAGGACGGCCAGGACGGCCACGACGCGGGGCAGCCTCCCTTCCGCCATTCCAGCGGAGACCTAAACGCGCGTCGGCGGCGGCAGCTCCGCGCAACGGAGAGAGAGAGAGAGAGGACGAAATACCGCCTCGGATCAGACGCAGTGGCTGCGTCAATGCCGCAAAGTTGATCGTCACATGTCGGCGAAAAATCGTGTTTTGGGCTGACTTTAAGCATCCACTGCGTCTGATTCGAGGCGGTATTTCGTCCTCCCTCAACGGGCAATTGGACTTTGGACCTTCCTTTAGCATGCCTTTCTTACGGAGTGCGATTATCTGCCTTAGTTTGGGAGCAGTATTGCCGCAAAGTTGATCAAAACGGTCATAAATGTCTTTGAAAAATCGTGTTTTAAGCCAACTTTAAGCAGCCACTGCGTCTGATCCGAGGCGGTATTTCGTCCTCCCTCAGCGGGCAATTGGTCTTTGGACCTTCCATTAGCATGCCTTTGTTACGGAGTGCGATTATCTGCCTTAGTTTGGGAGCAGTATTGCCGCATAGTTGATCAAAACGGTCACAAATGTCTGAAAAATCGTGTTTTGATCAACTTTGACGCAATACTGCTCCCAAACTAAGGCCGATAATCGCACTCCGTAACAAAGGCATGCTAATGGAAGGTCCAAAGACCAATTGCCCGCTGATGGAGGACGAAATACCGCCTCGGATCAGACGTAGTGGCTGCTTAAAGTCGGCCCAAATCACGATTTTTCAAAGACATTTGTGACTGTTTTGATCAACTTTGCGCGGACGCCGTGACGTGCGCTGCGGACCGAGAGTCTCTCTGTCTCTCTCGCACTCACGGGGCGTCCCCCTACAGGCCTGCAGGTGCGAGAGAGACAGGGCCACGCCAAACGCACCACGCCCCTCAATGACGACG